ATCATACTTGTTCGACATTGATCAATTACATGGGATTAGAGTACTGTTGAACATACTTGATAAATATTAATCAATCACATGTGATTACAAAAATAATCTCATGTGATTGCACTCAGATACAATCAGATATGACAGTTATTCATAGGGCCTATGAGTCTGCCATAGAAGTTAGTGAGAAACAGGATAATGAACTGACTTGTCTTAGATTACACTTTGAAGATCACAAGATTAATATAAAATCACTAGAGAGAGAGAGAGAGACACACACACACACACACACACACAGAGAGAGAGTTCTTGTAATGTATAAATATGAATGTATCATTTTAAAAGACAATCGTGAAATCAGTTTTGTGAAAGGAATATATTAGTTTCTGATAACAAACATCTTAATGCCAAAATTGATGCTTTTCATAACTCTATTGAATTTCTTGAAGAAAACGAATGGATGACACCTAATTTTCGTCATTCATGGTCCAAAGTACCAGGCCTCGAAAGTAAGTTTCCTAAACATGTTGCTCGTCCCTTGAACGAAATTAAAAATCTAACGTTTATGGGAGACATTCCGAACCATACTTATTCGGATACCCCTGTCTCACCATTGTCGCCCCTTCATGAGACTTCAGACCAGTTCCAATCTCTGGTTCCTGAGTTCCAGCCTATCATTGTTAAATGTCCTGATTCCATGCCTCTTTCACCTCTGATATCCCTGGGCCTGACTCAGTCTTTAGATTCATTGTCTGACACCAAATGTACTAGAGTTCAGATTCTGAACTCCGACCCTCCAAACATTTATGTTGTTGAGGATATAATTCTCGAGACAATTGGACATGACTCCGATAAATCCAACTTCGTTTGGGCGTCATTTGATAGTGACATAGATGAAGAAATTGTATGTGATGATACATCTTACTCTTGTATCTCTAACTCTGATGTGATTCCGAAATCAACTCTAGTGCCAATTAAGCCTAGGTTTAATAATCCATCGTCTGGACAAACTTCCAAGTCATCATATGACTCTCGGAAGAAACCTTGGCTGAATAAGAAAGACATTTTTCACCTAAAGACCGAAGCTAATAATGCCCTTAAGAAAGAAATTAGGTCTAGGCAAGATTCCAGATTCATTGAGAAGTTCGAAAATAAAGTGTCTCGAACAATTAGTCAGCTCCTAGGAATCACAATACCTTTATGCCTGTTAAGATTCTTAAGAGGCCATCTTTTCCTCCTAGTTCGGTTGTTCAAAACAAATCTGTCTATAATAATCCGAAAAAGGTCACTGTTGAGACTCCTTCTGTGCAAACTGACTCTCCTCGAACAATTTCTTCTATGTTTATTTCTAAATCCGATGACACGATTTTCAAACCAAAACAATTTCCGAAACCAAATGTGCCTTCGAAATTAGCAAGAAAAGAACAAGTTTCTAAGAACAATGTTGTTCAAAAATCCTCAAAGGATTCAAAACAAAAGTTTGAGTGAAAAGTAAAAAAGGCTGAAAACACATCTGTAACATCTGTCAACAGAGTGATTCCTACAACATCTTGAAAAACTGTTGGTCTGAGAAAAGCAGTATCCAAACAAACTTTGGTTGAATACAATTTTTGGAAAATTGAAAAGACCTTGACATTCTGCTTCTTTCTGAAAGAATCTCAAAATAAGCCTTTTGAGATGCCAATTGCTTAAAAGTCACAATCTAAGTCCAAAGCCTATGCCAAAGTCCCTAAGTCTAACTCGGAGCCTAATAACTCCAAAACTCACTGATTTTGCAGGCACTTTGTGCTTCCGAAAAAGATACAATATGGTATATTGATAATGCTTGTTCCATGAACATGACTGGGCAGAAAGTCTTTCTTCATGATCTAAAGCTCACTCCTAATGTTGGTTACGTGACATATGGAAACAATTCAAATTCACAAATTCGAGGTTATGGCGTCTTAACCAATGACATTTTCTCTATCTCCAATGTGGCCTATGTGGCTGATCTCAAGCATAACCTAATTAGTGTAGCTCAACTAACTGATGCAAACATAAGAGTTGAATTCTACAAAAAGCATAGCTACGTTATGAAACAGGACCAGAAAGAATGTCTAATCAAATCAGATCACATCAAGAACATGTATCCAATAGACATCAACAAGATCATCGGAAAGCCTCAAATTTGTCTTCTTTCAAAGGCAGTTCCTGACGTTAGTTGGCTATGGAATCGAAGGCTCGCTCATCTCAACTTTCTATACATAATTGATCCGGATTCTAGTGAAATGGTCTGAGGTCCGCCACTCCTCAAATTCAAAAATTATTGTCTGTGTTGCATGTGAATGTGGGAAGAAATCCAGGAAAGGTCATCATGTATTCATTTAAAAGTCAATTTCGAAACCATTAGAACTTCTTCATATTGATGTTTGTGACCATCCATTGTAGAAAGTCTGCATCACAAAAAGTACATTCTTGTGATTGGTGACGACTACACAAGGTTCATCTGGGTCTTCTTCCTTAGGCTAAAATCCAATACAACCTTTGAACTTATTAACTTAATTAAAGGAATTGAACTTCTTGTCAAACTCCTTGTTAGAAGAATCCGAAGTCACAATGGTTTTGAATTCACCAATGTCACCATTGAGAAATTCCTCTTCGACAAAGGCATCGACCATAATTTCTTTGATCCCTACACTCCTCAAAAAATAGTGTGATTGAAAGAAGAAACCAAACTCTCGTTGAAGCTGCTCGAATGATGATGAACTTTTCAATGTTCCTCTCTATCTTTGGGCTGAATCTATGTCTACTGTTTTCTTTACTCAACACTAAAGCATCCTTAATTGCTATCTCAACATGACACCATATGAATCCATGAATGGTTGCAAGCTGAGTATCTCTTTCTTACATGTTTTTGGTTGCAAATGCTTTATAAAAAACACTATGATTAACTCACCAAGCTTCAACCAATGACGGTGAAGCAATCCTTTTGGGATACTTATCCAAATCCAAAGCCTATGGATTTCTAAATCGTTGAACTCATGTACTTGAAGGAAGCTTTGATGTCAGTTTTGATGATAATTTTGTTTGGAACTCAAGTCCAACTCATGTTACAACTCACATCATGGAGTCCGATGCTCCACCTTCTGGGTCTTCGAATTCCCAAATCATCCATGAAGTCAACTTCGAAAGCCTGTTCGGACCATTAGAAACTGCTTTTGACTTGGAATCTCAATCAATACCATCGTCATCAGTTGAAGCTCTGTTATCTCAAAATGTCTCTAGTCCAACACCCATCATTCCTCCATTTGATTCCGATCCATTTCAACCTTCTTAGGTTGAGGGGAGAATAGTCATCCAACCGTCAAATCAAATGTTGATGGATATCAAGATGCAACAGATCAATTCGTTGAATTTGATCCCATTCTAAATAATAATGAAGATGATGCTAACTTTTTTGACTTTCCGAACGATGACGACATCGAAATATCCGGTTTAGAACTTCAGTGGGAGCATCATCCTCAAATTCAAATTGTTCAGGGGGAGCAACACAACCCCATTGTTGATATCGGATCATCCGCTGCACAAGAACTTCCAAGACTACACATCTGGACAAAGGATAATCCTCCGAATCAAGTCATTGGAAATCTCAATGCTGGCGTTCAAACTCGTTCTGCTACCAACAACCAAAATGAGTGTTACTTCTTGGCATTCATATCAATGGTTGAACCAAAATCCATCAAGGAAGCTTCAGAACATGATGATTAGATTACAACCATGCAAGAAGAGTTAGTAGAATTTAACAGAAATAAGTGTGGACTCTTCTCCCTCCTCCTCATGATCACTCTATTGTTGGCACAAGATGCGTCTTCCAAAACAAGATCGACGATGATGGAGTTATAATCAGAAACAAAGCGAGCTTTGTGGGCAAAGGATTTACTCAGATCAAAGGACATGATTACGACGAGACCTTTGATCATGTTGTTGATCTTGAAGTCATCTGAATCTTTCTCGCTTATGTAGCTCACAATGCTTTAAATTTTACCAAATGGACGTTAAAGTGACTTTCTTAATAGTGAACTGGATTTCGAAGTGTATCTTCAGTAGCCCCTAATTTTGTAAATATTTCATATCCAAACTATTGTTACAAACTTCAAAAAGTAGTTTGTGGCCTCAAGGAAGCTCCACGCACCTGGTACGAGACTCTCATTGATTTTCTGAAGTGTTCCGATTTTCCAAGAGGAATTCTTGATCCTAACTTATTCTGAAGATACAATGGAAACCATCTCATTTTCTTCCAAATATATGTTGATGACATCATCTTTGGATCCACAGATTCAATGATGGTTGCTAATTCACAAAGTTAATAGTTAGTCGATTCGAAATGACCATGAATCATGAAATAAGTTTTTTTCCTCAGACTCCAAGTCAAGAAAACCAACAGAGGAATCTTTATTCATTAAGAGAAATACATTTCCGAACTTCTAAAAAATATTTAATGGACACATGTGCATCTGCAAAGGTTCCAATGGGTTTTAGACACAAGATCTTCTGGGACCCATAAGGTGTTGGTGTTAATCAGAAGAAGTATAAGGGAATGATTGGATCGCTTCTCTACTATACTAGAAGTCGTCCATAGTTAATCCGAAGATGTCTCGTCTTCTGGATGCCACGCAAATATTCTGATATCTCAAAGGACAAAGAACCTCAGAATTTGGTATTCGGAAAATGAAAGTTTTCTTCTTCAGGAATATTCCGACTCAAACTATGGAGGTCTTCAAATGGATTGAAAGAGCACTTTCGGAAGTTGTCAATTTTTGGGTGGAAGATTGGTTAGCTGGTCATCCAAGAAATAGAATTGTATTGTTCTCTCAATAGTTGAAGAAGTATACATCGTTGTTGCAAGCTGCACTTTGCAAGTTCTTTGGATGAAATCTTAGCTTTTGGACTATGGTTATCCATTTCAACAAATTCCAATCTATTGTGACTCTTAAAGTTCAATTGTGATCTCTTACAATCCAATTCAGCACTCCATGACCAAGCACATTGATATTCAGTACAATTTCAATAAAGATCATATTTTAAAAGGAAGCATCAAACTCATTTTTGTTCCATCTGATGATGAAATTGCTGATGTCTTAACTAAGACATTAGACGAAACCAAATTTAATGGGTTTCTGGACAAAATGGGAATGATGATGTCGGATCCACAATTCTTCCAAGAGGCTTGTACACTCTGATGGAAACATTAGAAAGTAGAATAATTCTAAAGTGAAATTCGTTTCTCCTTGGAATCGTTTCCACTCGTATAAATATAGGATCATCATATGTGTCTTTTTATCTAACCTCTTCTACTAGTTTTTAAGTTGTTCAACTTTCCTCATCTCTTGAAGATTCTGACCGATATAGTTACATCGGTGTACTTGCAATCATCTCATCTCAGAGTTTATGTCAAAATCAAGTATGTTATGAAGTTCATCTCAGAATTCAGATCCAAAACGGTAATGTGAGTTCATATGTTATCCTCTTTCGAGCTCTGTTCCTTTAATTCTCGGAATCTCAATCTTATGAAACTGGTCCTCTAAGATCTTCATGAATTTTTACCTCCGATATTCAGTTTGAGACTTTGCCATCTTGAACTCTATATTATGTACTAATGATGTGCTCATATTCTTTCTGAAGTATCTTATGACATCTCATCTCGGAATCCAATTGTTTCGAGATCCTCAGTAGTAAAAGAATTTTAATGTTGTTATTAACGTTTTTAATCGGAAACGTTTTATCATTTATATACTAATGGTAATTTTACTTGATGATTACCCTTTAGTTCTTAATAAACGTGCTTTGGCACACATTCCAATATAGATCATTTCAAATCAGAACTGAAACGATGGTTTTCTATTTTAAAACAAACAGACGTCCCATCTTTTGTGTGCTACAGCTGCTTAAGATGCGGTTTTCAGCAATGCATTAAATGCAACACATATCGTGTCCAGGTGTCATAATTACTTTCTTTGACCCAGCCCGGAATATCCAACCTATAAAAGGATTTTGAATCCTAACTGTTCCCACATTTCACTTTAGCAATCGTCTACCTAGAGCCTTTCTCTTTGTACTCTGTTCTTCAATCTCTCAAACATTCATCAATGACATCTTCCTAAAACATTCCTCAAGTTTCCAAACCTACATCAAGGAAGAAATCTTTGAAGGGTTCCGCTCATCTTCATCCACTGATTTTATCCTTAGGGAAACCACTCAACTGTTCTCACTAGATCCCATGGATTATGATGAATCCACCTGCATCATAATTGAGTTCATGACCCATCATCCTATAGTAGTTCCTCTCACCAAAATCCCTAACCATAAACTTCCTCTTTTCATTCTTCACAAAGCCTTTGAATTAATTAAGATCGAACAAGATGTACTGGAAGTGAAAATCTCCTACGGAAAAAATCATTCCTCTCCACAAGAACACCTTCCACAAGGAAATCGGCATTCCAGAAAACCCCAAGGGTTTTTGTGCTCAAGAACCCACGACCGAATACTTTCAGACAGTTATCAATCAAATCATGTATAATGGGTATTTGAAGGAAAAGGAGCTCAAGAAGTCTGCTATTCCTAGCCTTTGGACTGTTCTAATGCACCTAATCCTTCGAGGATTATCTGGCAAGCATGGTGGTACTGAAATCAAGAGCAAGGATTGGATGTACGTTGTGTATAGTATCTATTGCGAATGAAACAACATTTTTGATCGAACCGAGGTGCTCTGGCAGGACTTTCGAAAGTTTGGCATCAAAAGGAAGCCTAACGAGATCTCAAGTCCAATATTTTGGGCTCTAACGCTTCCACAGCTGTAGGATGAAAGATTAGAAGCCATCCTCTCAATTTCAATCTCAAAGAGGTATATTGTTCCTTTACGGCTATAAAAACGTATACGTTACTGGACTAATCTGCTTTCGGACCTATTCGTCCTTTTTCCACAACATATGTTGGCTGCATTTCCATCTGATTCACTATATCTCAGACACCATCTTGAGACTTCGGTTGTGTATGAACGCACACAATCTACCCCAGTCTCGGATGATCAGCCTTCAGATGTGAACAAACCAATTTCTACTGGTGGGCGTAAGAAGAAAATGGCTAAACGAAAGGGCTCTCCCTCAAAAGTTAGAACCAAAAAAGAGAACCAAAGCCAATGGATCCTCTCAATAGGATTCATATATTGGAATTCAATCCGACTCTGCATCTCTGCCTACCCCTCCCGTCTACTCTTCCAAAGTACCCTTCAAAGTTTCAATATCACATGCACACACTCATGGGTAGTCAACATATAATGTACCCCCATCTTCCCCAAGAGATTGTGCTGGTATTGAAAATAGTCCCTTAAACCCCTGGGAAACACCCACGATTCTTTTTGGAAATCCCACTTGATTATACACATGTGCAATTAGGGACCCCTACCTCTGATTCTAAGCTTTCTAAAGCTGGAGCCGTCTCTCCTACTTCGAAAGCCCCAACCGGTCCGATACCTAGTTCAAGTAAAGGAAGATCGGGTATTTTTGACAAAGACTGGTATGATTTTGTTAACATGGCTCATTCTATTCATTCGGGGCAAACTAGAGCACAAGTGGCGTATACAATTATTTCAATGTGTCAAAGAGTTCTTCAAATTCATCTTCCATTCACTTTTCCATCTGATGAAGAGACTGGCCAAGTATTTCATCTTTCCGAAGGAGCTCATGAAACCACTACAGGAGATATTCCTGATCCCACAATTGTTTCGGATGATCCTCAAATGATGTTCACAAGTGATGAAACTCCCAACCCTCCCTCCCATGAAGATCATTCAGATGATGTAATGTTTGACAATGATACCACATATGTTGGTGCCTTTCTGATTCTCACATATTTCAAAATGTTACATAAGCCTTCCTCCTCCAAACCATTGTATGATTTCAGTCTTTTCTCCTCGTTGGAAGAATCCAAAGAAGAAGAAGTATATGTTGATGCCAACACACAAGGCAATCAAGACAATGAATATCAATCCAATCCAGTTGATAATGAGGAGCCTTTAGAACCTCAAGATGATGTTGATAATGATGAAGATGATAAGAAGTTTGAGAGTTTTACCTCGGAAACATGATCTTCGGATGAAAACATTACAGATACTTTTGCCTTGTTAGAGCCCTAAGATAATATAGCATCTGTTGTTTCCGAAGTAGACTCTCTCAACAAGACTATTACACAACTTGATTCCAAGATTGATAAGAAGGTTACTAGTCTCGACTCCAAGATTGAACTAATTCTCACATCTCTTTCTAAGATCAAATATGCTACCTCTCCGAACTCGATCGAGTAAAGCTACTCGATCAACTCATTTCCCTCCTATTCAAGCACACTCTGGAAGAAGTTGAATAGAAGTATAACGACAACCATGATCATCACATCTCCACCACCACCACCATGCTCAAGATTCATGACGACATGATTAGTGCTACCAATGAACTCATCAACCAGAATCATGTGCATCATGAGAAAAAAATTCAAAGGCTAGAAAATGAGATTTGGAAAAAGGATGAAAGGAATATCATTATGCAACAGGTTCTCATCAAGCTGATCTGAGCCACCTCGAATATTGTTAACGTTCTAAATTATAATGTAACATCCGAAAAATACAACCAATTTAAATTTTTCAAAACAACCCGATTTCCATTAAAATGTTTACAAAAAGGTTTTCAATACAAATCATTAGAGTATTCCCAGAATCACATTGCTACAAAATCATGAGGAGCGGTACGATCGCGCCTTCGCCTTGCCACGGTCTCCTGAAGAACCTGAAAAACATTAAACCACAACTGTAAGCCCGAAAGTTTAGTGAGATACCCCCAAAATACCAACCACGTATACGCCCTTCCAGGCTGCGACCTTCCGATCCAAAACATATAAAACATACATAACATAACATAACATAGAACAGCCATGCATATTGGGTCTACTGTGTGACTGGTCCGCCATATCGGGCCTTCAGTCCATCGGATCCATCCTCCAGGTCTAGTCATGTCCTTCGAGTCTACAGTGGGGTTGGTCCGCCCGCATCGGGCCTTCAACCCACCTGGTCCACTCTCTGAGTCTACAGTGTGACTGGTTCGCCCGCATCGGGCCTTCAGTCGGCTTGGTCCACTCTCTGAGTCTACAGTGTGATTGGTCCTCCTGCATTGGGCCTTCAGTCGGCTTGGTCCACTCTCCGAGCCTTGGCACGTCTGGTCCGCCCTTGTGGGGCCTACAGCCTATCCAGACCGCTCTATGGGCCTTCGGAACAACCGGTCCGCCCTGGGTATCCTGGCTTACAGCACAAAGCAGGACCCGCCTCAACCCATATCCAATCCACACAACCATGTGCACAAAACATACATTCATATAACAGTCATAGTTAACAAACCGAGCAAGCAGATCACATAGCATATCATTACCCTAACCGGGTTACCGACCTAACCGGTCACTAGCATAGCATCACTCTGTATATCGGGAAACTGACCTGAGCAAGGCCTCCTAGCATGTACCATCCTAGCTACCAGGATGCAGACACATCACACAATAACATAATAACCATAATCGAATCTCAATACAATAAAGGGCCGGCCTTGGTGCCTTAGACCCTGTTGATATAGTGAGGATAACTCACCTCGAAACTATCGGCTGAAAGGATAAGATCCCGCTGCTCCGAACTCTGACACGAACTCCTCCACTGAACATCAAAACATACAACTTAATAAATACCCTTAATTACCAAAATACCCCTGGAAGACAACTGGTCAACCATGGACAAATCAAAGTCAACCCCTGACTGACCCTACTCGCCGAGTCAACCCGATGACTCGCCGAGTCCATATGCTCAGAACTTCCTTCAATCAGCGACCCAACTCGCCGAGTCACCCTAAGACTCGTCGAGTCCAACAACTCTGAGTCCACTCGCACTCAACTCATCGAGTCATCCCTTGACTCACCGATTCATCGACTCAACCAGAAATATTGGGACTTCCTCGACAAGACTCGCCGAGTCCAAATGGACTCGTCGAGTCCAAGGCTATCTTCAACCTACCCGCCGAGTTGTTCTTCCAACTCGTCCAGTTCCAAGCCATCTTCAAGCAACTCGTCGAGTCCACCCATGTGACTCGTCGAGTACCACCAGTCTGAATCCATATAGAAGCATCTCAGGCCATGCAATTGATCCAAAACATAGATCCAACCTCCTACAATCCATCCATCACGTAAAGTGGTAAACTTTACGTGAATCTAAGGAGATCTAAGGCTTATTCACCTTAGAACCAAGGTTTGGAACATGGTGGCTTCACTAAGCACTCAAACACAAGAACTTTAATGCACTCTAGGCCTTCAATATTCCAGATCTGAGGTAGCAACCTCAGATCTAACTTCCAAACTCCAAAACATTCCAAGATATACTCCCCACAAACCCCAAAATGATGAAACTAGGAAGATACAACCCAAGAACGAAGGTTTTACCTCCAAAAGATTCCTCAATAGCAGCCAAACTCGAATCCACACAAAGCCCTTTGATCCAAGCCACTTCTCCTTCAAGATCTCTTCAAACAACACCTCTCCAAGCTCTAGTTTGCTCAATAATGGGACTCTCCACGAATTTAGGGCTTCTGGAACTCAAGGGGGGAATAAGGGAGGCTGTGGAGGGGTATTAGGCTCTTTATATAGTGCTCAACCCCGAAAATTTGGGTTTTCTCCATACAGCACCTACTTGCCGAGTCCATCTTTGGACTCGTCGAGTAGGCCACTTGACACGCGACCATAGCCGCGACCTGACTCGCCGAGTCTATCCATGGACTCGCCGAGTCACCCTCTAAAACTTACACTTTTAGCCCTTCAATTCTACTCTTGCGATTCCGGGATGTTACAATTCTCCCCCACTTAGATTAGGCTTCGTCCTCGAAGCCTACGGCATCTCATCTTCAAATTACTTCCCACGACGCGCCACCTGACCTTGACCGAACCAAGTCCCTCCAGGTACAATCATAAAAACCAGAAGCTCACTCTCTCCTTCCGTACGGTGTCCCCACCACCTACTCAAACCGGGCACCAACTGTACCCTCCGATAACCACACTCAACAACCGAGAATTACCCATGATGCCTTACTGCTCCAATTCTCATCTTTCACTTGACTCATATGGCTATAAAGCCACGAACCATCGGATTCCCGATCCGAATTCCACTCTATCCATCCCATGACGACCGAAAGACCCATTCTTCCATTCCGGAGCAACTCCCCGAGTTCTCCCCTCGCAGTCACACACACATGTTGATCTAGCTCTAGCACCCTCAGGTTTGGAAAACCCGATACACTGATGATATCCTCAAACATCCTTCCAGGATGAACCGCTGATACATACCCAAAACCCTGATCAGAATCTCACTGAGAGTCCAAGACCCTTCTTTGTATCCCTTCCGAACCCCTCTCCCTGGCTCTACGCCGCGGTATTCCCTCCGCGCCCTGAGCAACATATCAAGTCGAATGAGCTTTTATTCTACCGCCGCAACACACTACTCAAAGACCATCGACGGACCACTCCAATCATAACTCTACACTGCCGCTTTCACTTCCGTGAATTCGCACTCCCTTTTCGGAATTTCATTCCTCCCTCTTTCCTTACCAAGGAAACCACTCGTCCGCCCAGTCACCATGACAGGCACTATGGTGCTCATCCCACGCTACACTACCTCTTTAAAGCGTACCCGACATCCATGCATCACCACTACTCTGACTCTCATCGCAGGGACTCTCAAGCCCATGCACTACCTTCACTGCTCAAAATTGCTACCCGGGGCCAGACCTCCCAATGTAATCACACTGCAACATACAGCAACCCATAACCTCGAACCGATCCAACAATACTCGCAGAGTCTTCAGCATGACTGGACCGCCTCCCCAGGCCTTCAGCCAATCTGGACCACTCTCAGGACCTTCAGCCAATCTGACTGGACCGTCCTCCGAGCCTTCGGCCTGACTGGTACGCCTACCGGCCTTCAGTCTATCCGGACCGCTCAACTAACATTCATCATTCCGAACTATCCCTTCGGGAAATCCTCCCGTGCATACCGTTCTAGCCCTCTAGGGAACTCTCCGAACTCTATCTCGGCCCGCTCCCATGCCTTCCACAATCAACTGCTCTAGGTCTGTATTCCGCCCCGCATGCTTGTTACTCACCCATACGAGCCTGCTCTCGACTGATAGAAATATCGCTGAATTTCCCAAGCAGCTAAACAACCTCTCAGACCCAATGATCATCCGGAGAATTTCCAATTCTCCCCCACTTAAGATACTGACAATAAATCACCGGTCGCCATCACCGATCTCCCAAAGTAACCTTGCAGAAATCAACACTTACACGCAAAATGTTTCTCACCAGCGCCAACAACTTTCATAAAAATCATGTTTCCACGCTGCACAACCCGCTCGAAAAGAACCCAATCTTCACCTATCCATTCCTCAGACTGCAGAATCTACCCGACCTTCAAACCATCGCCGCATCTGCCACCCATCCTCACAAAGATAATCAATGATAGCTCGAAGTATAAATCCGTAACCATGTTGATCCTTCAGGGAACAAAGGATACCAAAACGAAATCCCGATCACAACTCGCCAAACCCTCAAGGAACAACGGATACCACACGAAAACCCGAAACGCAATTTCATAACCAACCAATGAAACTAGCATATAACAATACTCCACAACAATCATAAATAATCAAAAACAGCAAAAGAACATACCCGCAACAGCAAGCTGAAAAACACGACCCTAAGCCCTTGGGGGCTCCGCTCCACCCTGACCTCCACCTGTGATCCTCAACGTAGCCGGTGCTAGAGCCTACACCGGTCCTGCAGCAAGCCATGGACAGTTGACCTTCAAATGTCCAACCTGATGACAATGATAGCATATCCTCAAATCCCGAACCGCACTGACTACCGACAATCCCTCGCATAGTGTCCCTCCTTTCCGCACTTGCCGCATGCTCCACCGGACCGACAAACCCCGGCGTGACCCCTTCCACACTTTCCACAGACGTGGCTACCATGATCTCCCATCCTGGAATCAACGGTCTTAGACCGTTTCGT